GAGAGAGAGAGAGAGAGAGAGAGAGAGAGAGAGAGAGAGAGAGAGAATCATGCTCAGTCGTTTGATGTATGGGAAGCCAAGCATCCGCTAAAATAAAAAGGACTCGAATGGACAATGCAGTGTCAGCAAAGCAAGCAATGTATATCCAGATACATATGAAAATAGCACAATGTAGCGCACTGGATGACTCAAAGATATGACCTGGCCTGTCAGATACGGACGCGACACCCCATCATACACCACACATGTGAGAGAGAGAGGAGGGACCGCATATGTAGACAAAAGGTCCCTCCTTGATCACACACATGGGGAGATACCACGGATGAGGATATGGGGGGGAGAGGCGAGACAAAGCTGGAGACAAGGGAGAAGAACAAAATCGCGATAGCGAAGTCCAAAAATAATCTCCCTGCCGAAAGATGGAGACGAGGGTTTGGGGTTTAATTTAATACGGGTAGGGGGTGGGTTTAATAGAGGGGCCTTGGGTTATTTTTTAATACGGGGGGTGGGGTTAATAGGAGGGGGTTGGGTATTATTTAATACGGGTGGGGGGTGGGGTTAATAGCAGCGTTTTATTTAATAAGGGTTGGGGGGAGGTGGTAGGAGGGTGGAATGGGGGGCTTTGGGTTTTATTTTATGTGGGTGGGGGGTGGGGTTGGGTTATTTTTTAATATAGGTGGTGGGGTTAATAGGGAGGGTTTGGTTTTTATTTAATATGCGTGGGGGGGGTAGGGGGCTTTGGGTTTTATTTTATTTGGAGGGGGGGGGGGGGGGGGGGGGGGGGGGGGGGGGGGGGGGGGGTTGTTTGCAAAAGAAACAAACAAAATTTTTTCGAAGGCGGCAGAGTGAAATCAAAACACCTTGCGACACCCTCAAAAACCACGTGCCTCCCCAGTTCACACCCTAACCCGCAACGTATCCGAACACCCCGCAAGAGGAGCTGCGGAGTGTTTGGATATGTTGTGAGGTAGGGTGTGAATTGGGGAGGCACGTGGTTTTTTGGGGGTGGCGCAGGGTGTTTTGATTTTGCAGGGGAGGGGGAAGGGGGGCAGGGGGGCGCAGGGGGGGGGGAAGAGGTGCAGTTAATGTTTACAACAAGCAAACGACAGTTACACATTACTGGTATAGAAGGTGAAGAACCTGACATAATCATTTTTTTCAAAATTTTCGAAGTCGCATCAAAGCATGCATTCAGTCATACATTAAATATAGAGTACAAGCAACCAATGTCACAATGTCACTCACAAATGGAAATGAAACGAGTATCGAGTCGTGAATAAACACAATGTTCTAAATGTCATAGGTCATAATGTGCAACATGGTCATCGAAAAGCGAAAACCGAAAGAGGGCCAAAACGTGGCCTTTATCCGAACAGACCCAAAGTTTATTCAGACGAACTACAAGTCTGAAACGACACGTAAACAGACAAAAATARGACAACAAATWAATAATGAATGCTGACTMAAATCGAAACCTGCGGCCYTTAGGCCAGCAGTAGGCTGTGACGCCCAACCTCACGCCCGACGCGACTTCATGATYGRAGTTGTTGTTGTCATYGTACCACTGCTTGCGAAACTTGYGGGCCACCTTGGTAACATACGCAAGGATGTCCCCCACTACAGCTTCGTCCTCCGTCRACGAAGTTGGTGGTGCATAGAACGATAGATACGTGTGAAGATGAGCGCATGATGTTGCGCATTGCGGTCCCGGCAAACGACCCGTGGTCAGGAGAGGAAGCCATGYGAAATCCTCGGACGTGAGCGGGTCCWGTACCTCTATGTTGAACTCATGTGYCGAATCCGGTGAAGAACCACTTGAAGACGATAAGTTGCCACTGGCGGACGGGGAGGATGTCGTACACACGTGTAGTCCTTGAGCAAGAGTACCCAGCGTAGGAACGAGTCGGACAGCATAGTCCTCATAAGAATATAGAAAAGGAGGAATATCGACTTCCGCATGTGCCTTGGAACAAAGGGCCGTCACCCGCGAAGCGACCGGTTCCAAAGGCGTCGAGAATGTCGTCGATTCACTCCCGACGGTGTTCAGTTTCGCGATTTGTCTTTGTCTTTCGACGGGCAGCCCACTGTGTCGTGGAGATCACTGTTGCACCACAGACAATAGCGGAATCTCGTGCATTGCTTGTATGCTTGCTCCGAGAGGCCATAGTGGGTTCATGGGGCTAGAGCTGCTGCGTCGGGCTCGGTGATAGATGTCGTGTTTGTCTTTGGCTTCCCGCGTCCTCGGCCTCTGCCGGGGCGGCAACCATCCCGGGCGGCTGCGAGTCTGTCCCCTTCATTTCCAGACACGGCCTCGCTAGATTGGTCGGTTGGCGTTGTCGTCGCAACCACGGTCACTTTCGCCCGATGCTGATCTCTGCTCGGGCCCGCCGCAGACGAACGGTTCAGGTTCTTAGCCTCCTTGTTTGTGACAATGATCTGCGCGGCCTTGTCGAAGAGCTTCGTCGTTGTCGTCAGGGTCTCCTCGACGTGAGTCAAGGCGTTRCGCAACGCCGGACACGACCTCGAGATGAAGTAGTGTTTGACGGCCTTGAAGCCCATTTGCATGTCTTGGACGGATGTCAAGCGTTGGTACTCGACAATCCACTCAACACTCGGCAGCGTGCCTTGTTCAAAGGTCATCAATTTGTCCATCGCCTTGATCTCCGATGACTCTACATGGAATCGTTTATGCCACGCAGCCTTTAGATCATCCCAGTTGATCTTGGTGTATAAATTGGCACTTACCACCCCGTACTTGGACAAGAGATTGTCCAACCATGCTTGACGCGCGCCCCCCGACCGGGAGTATAAGTACGTGTGATGCTTGTCCTCTCTGACGTGGTGTAGATGCAACTTGAGCTCAAACTTGCGGAACCACGGAATCGGGTCCATCTTCGTTGAATCGCAGAAGATGTCCTGACCATCGAACTTTGGAGTCGTCTCGCGCGGTGCCGAACTCGGGTTGGCGGCAACAGCACAAAACCGCTGCTCTAGTTGTTGTGTGGTGGTTTGCTGTAACTGCACACCGTCCCTGAGGGCTCCGACGTCAATCTCCAAAGTATCGAGGCGAGCGGAGGTGTTGGAGGAGCTGGCATCGGGGGCGGCGACGGGTCGTTGCTCCAGTTGTTGGAGGCGGCTGTTGACTTGATCAAACGCCTGGTTGTGCGTCTGAACCGCGTGGTCGAGGCTGTGGATGTCCTCGTGCTCGTGAAATGGGAAAGGAGTAGAGCGATTTTGCTTTCACTCGCTCTTTGTTGAATATCTTCTCGTGTTATTGATTTCGTTCTTCATTGGCATCCTTTGTTGCTGCCTCGTCTTGCTGGCGCTGCTGTTCGATTGCCAACAGACGTGCCTTCTCGGCATCCTCTGCCTTCTTCTTCTTTGCGGCTGCTACCGCATCCGCTCGTTTCTTGGTTTCGGTAATCAAAGCGAGCATCCAGGTCTGATAGGCCTCGGTCGTTTCCCTGGACTTCTGATCCATGTTGGGGCTGTTTGTAGTCGCGTGAGCATAGACAAGGCCGGAGGACTGATGATGTGGCACTCCCTGCTGCTGACGTGGCACTACTTGGCTGTCGACGTGGCGCGACTGTCAGCTGACGTGGCCTGCTGACGTGGTCTGCTGACGTGGCCTGCTGACGTGGTCAGCTGATGTGGCCTGCTGACGTGGCAACTCACCAGTGCCGCTGCAAGGGGTATCCGGAGACAGATAGAGGAGACCAGAGGGGGCAACAACATAGGTAAGGAGGGGTGGGTGGGATAAATCGCCCAGATAAGGAGCCACTAATCTAAAAGAAAAGTTTGAACATGGCAAAAAAAATCGAAAGAAAGAAAAAAAATACTAGTTTGCAAGTTCAGTAGGCCTCGCAATTCCCCCTGAAGTGCGAAATTACCAATGAGGAAAAAATTTTGAACTTTAAGACTGCAAATGATTATCCGATAAAAGAATTCCGAACAAAAATAATTTTTTTTTTGGAATTACTCAGATGAGAGCACGCGCAGTTTGGAAAATGGTAACTGCAAGAGGGATTTCCCATACCGTTTTTATAAAAAAAAACGAATTTCAGAAAAGAAAAAACAAAATTCCGAATTTCCAAATAACGGGAAATCGCAAAAGGAAATCGAAATTTTCGAAAGAAAGATATTCCGAATTTCCAACAACAAAATTTCGAATTTTCAGAAGAGAAATGAAAACGGAAATTTCAGGTGTTGCGCTATTACAATTTACCACAACAGAAATAGTGGGAAAACAAAATCCAAGAAAAAAAAAAAAAAACGATTTTCGGCAGTTAGGTCAAAATCGCGATTTTGGGGGCTAATTACTACGCTCTAATCAATCAATCAATCAATCAATCAAAACTACTTAGTCCCCGCACACGTGTCAGATCAGGTTGTCCTGATTCACGTGCGGCGTTCCGACACCAACTGTTACATGCCCAGTTGGCCAATGTATGTATAGCCAAGGATCCGCAATGTGATAAAAAGGACTGAATGGACAATGCGGTGTTAGTGGAATCTCAACAAGCAATGTACATCCTGATACATACAAAATGGCACCGTGTAGCGTAGTGGAAGACTTAGATAAAAGCCCTGACCTGACCGGGACTGACCTCTCGCATGTAGTACAAGACAGTGCAGCGAAATGCTAGAATACCAATGACTAGTCCAATCAATATCGCAATGCAGACCAAGCATACATCATCCTCATCACAAGGTGTGAAGGGGCCTGGCGCTACACACAGGAAGAATGTGCCAGGTCCAGACGATACACAGACGAAGAGGAGGGGATCAGACAAAGAAGAGGGGGAAGATCGGAATGTCGTCAAGACCAAGTCTTCGGTACAAGTCCCAGATAATCCCTCGTCAAATGTCTGAAGCCCAATGTCGAGTCTGGATCCAAATGTCACCAATCCCGCTCTCTCGTAATTTGCTGATGCAGTGAAGTCAGGTAGTGACAGGGTAAGGGGGAGATGGTGGACTGAGAAGAGGAAGAAGAAGAACTCTCTCTCTCTCTCTCATGTGCCAGGTACTAACCTGTGAATATGGCGCTGTGCTGCAGGTACCTCGATGACGAGCTGGAGCTATGGTGCTGCAAGTAAGTCTCCCTGGCCTCCGCCCAATCTCTATCTCTCTCCAGTGCTACTCTAGCTCCTAATAGCGCCCAGCGCTGAAGACTACTGCTAACGCTACTACTACTACTGCAGCGCTCCTCCAGAGTGCTACTGCCAGATCCTGAAGACTACCTCCTGCCTCCTGAACTGCATCTCTCTCCAGTGCTACTCTAGCTCCTAATAGCGCCCAGCGCTGAAGACTACTGCTAACGCTACTACTACTACTGCAGCGCTCCTCCAGAGTGCTGCTGCCGAATCCTGAAGACTACCTCCTGCCTCCTGAACTGCACGTGAAGTGCCTGGGAAGTCCCTATGAACTACCTGCAGCCTGCAGGGCGGGCCAGTCTTATATAGTGCTGGCCCATCCAGGAGGCTGCTCTTGCCAATGCCAAAACGTGCCAGACCCTGGCGTTGAAGCTCAAACAAAGGTTGTCTTGAAAACAGGCCCAAAATGGCCTGTGCAAAAACCCTAATCTGGTGCCTTTTTTTTTTTTTTTAAAGTTCATGGTGTTGTAGAGGCCAGTCACTGAGTACACAGTGATCACCTGGAGCAGTAGGCTGTAGGTGTCCTGGAATATGAGACCGCCTCCCATCCCATCCTCACGTCAATACTCCTAGTGAACCCCCTATCCCACTATGGCACTATCCTACCTCAGTGTGACCTGCACTCAGGACCATTACCCTACCTATGGGCAGGTAACTTGGACCGAACAACAGTGATAGGCACCAGGGCTGATATGCCCAGCCCTGGTCGAAGCGGAATCGGACGAGCCTTGTCAAACGGGAACTTCGGACGCCAGGCTCATACAATCTACTATAGGCCCCAAGAGACTCTGGGCCCTGGGTTTCAGACAGGGTAGCACCCAATGAAGCAGTCTTACCGTCCTTCCCCTAGCTTATCCAAGGCCAGGGTGAACTCGGACTGGCCTGAGTGACTTATACCCCTACCCTTACCCCAGGGTCTAAGCCTTATATATAGTGACTAGACAGTATTATTAGAATATCAGTAGGAACTCCGGTGGCCCATACCTGTCCCTACTGCAGATACTAGACCCCACCCAGTGACTAGACCCCCCCAGTCTGATAGTTGTGTAGTTTGCAATCTATGTGTGTACCCGAAGGYTATGTATGTTCCATAGATGTGCAGACAGCACCATGTGTGGAAACTTGTGTATGTAGCCCRTAGGCCATGTACAATTTGCAAGCTATGTATATGCCCGAAGGCTATGTGTGCTCTGTGAAGGCTATGTGTGCTCTGTGAATCAATGTATAGGCAGCATCATATGTGTACATCGAAGAGAGAACGGGCCAAGCTGGGCAAGGTTCCCCCCAAGCTCCGAACCAATCTCGAACCCGTGACCTTGTAACGTGTAACAAGCTCCCCCCCAAGCTCGAACCCGTGACCTTGTAACATGTAATGGAATGACTCTACCGTGTGAACGACCAGTGGAAATGGCACGAACGTGTGATATGCCAGATTGGGGAGATCAACAGAACACCCAAGACCAACACCCCAAGCAACCCATGTGAAACCAAGCACAAACATACAACACCATGAACAACCCTGGTGCGCAGGCAGTGTCTGTAATAGGTAACCTGCGTCATCCCAAGGGGGTGTGTCCAGTCGTGCGTCATTCTAACGCCCTGCCGGTGTCCATGCGCAAGGCAACGGATTTGAACCCGCAACCTCATACCACAATGCGCATCTCCAACCGGTGCTCTAACCACTGAGCTACATCAACTGGACTTTCAGCGTGAGGGAAGGTCTACCTTATGAGGGCCTGAAAATGACCCTCCGTTTCAGGCTGAAAAGACTCAGGGCCTGGAGGGACCTCTTTTAGGCTGAAACAACACAGGGCCTGTAGACCCTTGTTTTCAGGCTTTCAGGCTGAAAGGACACAGGGCCTGTTGGCCCTTGTTTTCAGGCTTTTAGGCTGAAAACGACACAGGGCTGTAGGCCTTTGTTTTCAGGCTTTTAGGGGAAAGCAACACAGGGCCTGAAAATGGCCCTCGTTTCAGGCGCCGCATGTAACACAGGGAGATAGAAGTGGCTACTGTCATCAATAAGATGAGCAAAATCAGAATGAATCTTCCGCTAGAACATGGAAATATACACTGCAAATATAGTTTAATATACACTGGCACTTTTTATTTGTTTGCGTGTGTGTGTGTGTGTGTTTTTGATGTGTGCTTCAATGCACCCATGGCAAGTTTTACTATCATAATGCCAGGTATGATCTCAGATGACAAGTCATCGGCACACCTCTAGCTTAGGTATTATTTGCAAGTATGGTAGACATCATCTATTGTGGCGAGAACGGCATGTACTCATGTTTTCGAGTACTTTCAGGCAAGGCGGGTAGGGCGAGCGGACAAACCACATATCAACAAAACAGACTTAAAAAAAGGGGGGGTGCCAAGGCCTGGCGGGTCAGGGGAGAGTAGCGCACCGACCCTTTACCCTCTTGCTGGTGAGATTGCGAGCAGACAGCCCGCAAGCAAACCAGCAAGAAGACCACACCTCAACAGACCAAACAAACACACCAAAAAATTATCTGAAAAAAATATTAACTGAAAAAAATATTAACTGAAAAAAATAGAAGCTGATGATGATTGTTTCGTCGGAATTGCACCGACTCATCAGGAGGCTGAACCCTCGACAATCTGCGGCATCCCCAGTTTTGGATGCGTTAGGTCATGAAACCTTTGACGCCTGTTGAAGGCAGGTTGCCCACAAACGAAACAAGGCAGCAGCGAGTGACGCCGTTGTGAAGCACCGGGCAACACACTCAACGCCAGTGCACTGCGCAACACCAAAGACGACTGCAAGCAGAAGACAACGTCAGTGGAGATGAAGCAAGGCACCCGTTTCGGGGGCACAAGTCCACACCCAAACGACAACCATCCGGCACGCCACTAACGAAAGGACCCCAAACGGCAAGGCACCCGAATGGGCAGCCTGGAGGCAACATAACGACGCACAAGGCACCGCCAGCAATACATCCAAGCCAGAAAGTGAACACAGTAG